AAAAGTAGAAGTACTCAGATCTTGTTCTTGAGTAAAAGTAGAAGTACTCTAGATCTTGTTCTTAGTAAAAGTAGAAGTACTCAGATCTTGTTCTTGAGTAAAAGTAGAAGTACTCAGATCTTGTACTTGAGTAAAAGTAGAAGTACTCAGATCTTGTACTTGAGTAAAAGTAGAAGTACTCAGATCTGTTACTTGAGTAAAAGTAGAAGTACTCAGATCTTGTACTTGAGTAAAAGTAGAAGTACTCAGATCTTGTTCTTGAGTAAAAGTAGAGGTACTCAGATCTTGTACTTGAGTAAAAGTAGAAGTACTCAGATCTTGTTCTTGAGTAAAAGTAGAAGTACTCAGATCTTGTACTTGAGTAAAAGTAGAAGTACTCAGATCTTGTTCTTGAGTAAAAGTAGAAGTACTCAGATCTTGTTCTTGAGTAAAAGTAGAAGTACTCAGGTCTTGTTCTTGAGTAAAAGTAGAAGTACTCAGGTCTTGTTCTTGAGTAAAAGTAGAAGTTCTCAGATCTTGTACTTGAGTAAAAGTAGAAGTACCAGAGTGTAGTAATACTCTGTTAAAGTAAAAGTCCTGCATTCAAAATGTTCCTCAAGTAAAAGTATAAAAGTATTCTCATCAAAATATAGTTAAAGTAGCGACAGTAAAAGTAGTAATTTATATTTCACATCATTCATCCACATCTGTAAAGTAGCTAAAGGTATTAAATACATGTAGTGGAGCAAAAGTACACAATTTACCTCTGAACTGTAGTGGAGTAGAAGTACACAGTAGCATAAAATTGAAATATTCAAGTAAAGTACCTCAAACATGTACTTGTGGTACTTGAGTAAATCTTCTCAGGAAACCTCCTTTTAATTTATTTATATTATTTAATTAATGTTATAATACATTTTTAGGAATGTATACTTTCTATAATCCCTGTAAGAAATATTATAATATTAAAAAGCGATAAAAACGCTACCATAGCGACGGGTTTTGATGACGTAAAATGACCCACATCCGGTATCTCTCTCGCTCAGTAAACATGGCGGATGGCTAACGGCTGCATATAGAAGACTTTGGATACCTCTTTCAGAAACAACACGTGTCTTTATTTACTTCTGATACGCTGAGCAGCGCGTGCGGGGCTTTGTGCTCTTAAGGGATTGTTTTCTTTATTAAAAGGTAAAGTATTTATTTCTCCTATCGATGCCAACGCGGCCCAAAGCTAACAGTTAGCATGTAGCTCCTAATGCTGCAGAACCCGCAAAGAGTTAGATATTATATCATTCTTCTGACATCATAATGTATGGAAGCTGGTTTTAAACACCTGCTGCGTTTTACTATATCGTATGTAAGATAATTAGATAAATGAGAGAGACTTTGCTTGTGTGTTCACCATAGGTTTACTGTTAACTTGCTAGCTAACAGTTGCTAACCGTCACTTTCAGATTCAAGATTCAAAAGCTTTATTGTCATATGCACAGCTACAGTGAAGTGATGGGAAGGAGCATCTTAAGTCCCAGGCTGCTCGAACAATGCAACATAAATACATATAAGACATACACATATATAACTCCGTAGACATGCAATAGTGCAGATTATCTTGCAAGTAATGCAAATGAAGTAAAATATATACATGTCAGAAAATGTAAATACAATAAGCTAAATGTTGCAGAGAAGGTTAATGCAGGAGTCTATATACATGGACATAGAATTAGATAAACAAGAACATAATGTAAAATTAAACACTGTACTGTCAAATAAATACTATAAATACATGTGTGAGACGCAACCTGTTTTCAGACTTCCCTCTTGAATCTTTGGCCTTCAAACCACAAAACAGATACAATAGTGCAAGAAGAGTCTATGTAGAAGTCATTGGAATATTAATTGGAATGTATGTGCATAGCGTTTCTGCTTTTTTCTTCTCCCTTCACCATCGTTAGGCTTTCTCTCTCTGCAGGTGAAGGAGACGCAGCGACACAATGGGGCGACGCTCGACCTCCTCCACCAAGAGTGGGAAGTTCATGAATCCCACCGACCAGGCCAGTAAGTACCGACCCACAAGCAGGAACCGAAGACAAATCCAATTTCAGAGGTTTTATCATCATACGCTCAAAGCTGGCAATGAAACTCTTCTGACCTGAGCTCCTCCAACGATGCAACATATATAATGAAATACAAAGTCAATATCTATTAATGTCAAAATGATAACTGCTTGCTCTCTACCCCCTCTTTACAGGAAAGGAGGCCAGGAAAAGGGAGTTAAAAAAGGTAAACATCAGACACCCTTTAACCTACTCGTTCATCTTAAACACAACACTAACGTTCCTTCGATGATGACATTGATGTAGGGATTATAACTTTATTTCCTAATTATCTCGGCCTGTTGGCTTTTCTCACTGCTGCTTATGTGTGTTTGTAATAATCAGAATCAGATTTCCTCTATTCGGCCCACAAAGGGGAAATGTGCGTTGTTACAGCAAAGTATAAAGAGAGAGATGAAGAACACAAAAATATATTATAATGTACAGAAGTCCACATTCAGGTAGAGAGTAAGAAGCAGCCGTATTTATACATTATAATCAGTGCAGCATGTAGAGTGAAGTGTGGTGTATAACATTATTGCACATAGTTTCAAAAATATTCCTGTTGCAGTAACGGATGGGCAGACGAGGAGGAGCAGCCGGTTTTAATAATACATTAGCAGAACACATAGACGTGGACTGTACTTATACACCTCTTTATCAGGTCTCTTCGACCCCTCAAAAAGCTTTACGATTCATTCACCCATTCATGCAGAGCACCACTTGCTCTAGGGAAGCTAACACACACACACACACACACACACACACACACACACACACACACACACACACACACACACACACACACACACACACACACACTCACTGACACTCACTGACATTCACTCGCTCACATACACACACACACACACTCAGACACACACACACAAACTGACATTCACTCGCTCACATACACACACACATATACACTCACACACTCGTACACACACACACACACACTGACATTCACTCGCTCACACACACATATACACTCACACACTCGCACACACACACACACACACACACACACACACACACACACACACACACTGACATTCACTCGCTCACATACACACACACATATACACTCGCTCACACACACACTCACACTGACTCACATACACTCTCACACTCACAGAAACACATACACTCACACACTCGTACATACACTCACTGACACTCGCAAACACACACACACACACACACACACGCTCAAACTCACTCACACATGCCATGGTCTTTGTTATTCTAGTGTGTGTGT